AAAATACATAAGTATATAGGAGAAAAATGTGGATTTTTTTTTGAAATTAATTATGAACAGAATTTAATCGAACTAAATCAAATTTATATTTATAAACACACTTGACACCTTCACTCATATTCTTCCAATGTTGTTCAATTAAATTAATCATGTTGCTGTCGAATTTTTTATCATTTGGTAGTGACTGTTGTTTGAGTTTAAATTGTTTTAATTTAGTATTAAATTCCTTTTGATATCGATCCATTTGAGCTTGAGCGGTAGTGAAACACAATTGTATCATATCTTTTTTTGCTTGTTGTGCGATGTTTATATATTCATCCTGTAGTTTTTGTCGAATAGATTGATTTTCTATTGTTTTGAAAAATTTTTCTTTCGGTATTTGTAGAGATGTGGGCGATGATTTTTGAATCGAAATTAGGGGTGGCACTTTACTTTTACTTTATCAGTAAATAGGTAAATATTTTATTTACTATTTACTTTTGTAAAGTAAATAAATTATTTACTATTTACTTTAGTAAAGTAAATAAATTATTTACTATTTACTTTTGTAAAGTAAATAAAATATTTACTATTTACTTTTGTAAAGTAAATAAATTATTTACTATTTACTTTAGTAAAGTAAATAAAATATTTACTATTTACTTTTGTAAAGTAAATAAAATATTCACTATTTACTTTTGAAAAGTAAATATGATAGTTTTTTGTTGAAGTGGCATATATTTTTCAAGGGCAAATAGTGAGTGTAAGCTTTAACTCTAGGTTTTCCGGCTCCCCCATCCATTACAGACATCCCCTTTCATCATAGACAACTTCCTGTTACACGCAGACGCGACGTAATCAATTCTCACTGTGTTTGTTTCGCCACCTCCAGTTGCTCATCACAAAGAGGTCTGCGCTATGATAGATCACTGGGTTTATAGCATGGAAGAAATTTTTCAAAAATTGACAATCTATAATGGATTTTTCGAGGTTGATGATTGATAAATGTATAATAAGCTTCTAATTCAATTAATATATGAATCTTTATATTCAGTGGTTGAATAAGGCGATAAGACATGTAGCTGTGGGAATTATTTTAAATTTGTTGTATCTTTCGGATCAGTAATTCGATTAACAATTGATACCGTTCATTTTTCGTTTGGTATCTATGTATATGTTAGGAACAGTAGAATATTATTACTTTTTGGATTTTCGAAGTTTTAGTTGAAGTTGTAATTTAATAATGCTTTATATCGCAGTATTTTTAACAAACACAACAATGATATAATAAGTATCTATGGCTATTTAACCACCATCAGATTATTTTATATCGGTTGAATTTTATGCTATAGTGAATGATAAAAATGATAGCTCTAATAATGAAGAGAAAACCTGAAGTAATTATTACTTCTTTATTAAGTCATGTGATCAACAAAGTTCTATTGATACGTAAGCATCATCTTACAAAACTAAATACAGAACGTGCACTTCAATGTTGGCAGCGAAAACGAGAAGTAGATGCAAGTGAATATGTGCTTAGAGTACGAGAACAAGAACGACAATATCGGGAATAACGATACGAAGATGTCAGTTTAGTTTTTTTTATTTAACAGAATTAACTTTGTTTTAAGTTTTTGAGACCTTCAAGTAACATGAGAAAACTTATGCATTCAGACTTAATCGTGGTATTTTTTTGAAATGTATTCTGAATGAGATTTACTGTACTATAACAGCGTTCAAAATATCTTTTACTTTATAAAATAAATGGACGTGACCAGTCGAATTGATACCCCACGGTTTACTCGTTTATATATCTTCAACTATTTATGAATAACTTATGACTTTTTTACTAGCTGTCGTATTATATAATGCTAATGATCCGGTACAGTTTGAGATATATGTATCAATAAGAACGAGAGTTGTTAAGCATTTTCTTATAATCATTGTGTTAAAGATACTGCACATCTAATTTATTAGTCTACACCAATTCCTACTAAGAAATTTGAAGCAACATGAAATAGCACCAACAAAATTTTATTACCAAATAGTTAATCAAGAAGTACAGCTAACTTATCATGTTGTATATTTACGAATAGGGTGCTTACACAAGTTCAGATTACATAAAGCAGAAACAACATGTCCGATCTTGGTAATCTTATGAAAATTATCAATAGCTCCTCTATAAACGGTTCTTCTCAAAAGAGATACTTTTTCTTATATATCCTTCTCCTCTATTTTCTATATGACTATTTACTCTTTTGATATAGCTATTTAATTCTACTATAGCTATTTAATATTACTATAGCTATTTAATTCTATGATAGCTATTTAATACTACTATAGCTATTTGATTCTATTATAGCTATTTAATTCTACTACAGCTATTTAATTCTGCTACAGCTATTTAATTCTACTATAGCTATTTAATCCTAAAGTCAATCATCCACCATAGCCTATAGCTATTTAATTTTTCCATGACTATTTAAATTCTTCTTCCGCTATTTAATCTTCTCATATAGCTACTTATTTCTTCTATGGCTATTTAATTATCGAACAGCTGTTTTATATTGATGTAGAGCTACGTAGTAGTTGTTTGGCTGTTTAAATTTTTTTTTGGTTAGTTGATCTTTTGAGAGCGGTATATTGGTTGAGCAGGGTTTGACGGAAAAAAAAATCATTTTACTATTCATATAGTACCTTGCATGTTTTATCATATCGTTGAGTAGAGTTTTATGAAAAAAATATATGATTCTGATAAAAAAATATCATGTGAGCAGGGTTTGATGATAAAAAAAATATCATTTTACTATCATTTATAAATCAATCTAAATCATGTACTAAGTTGTGTTTCTTGATTATATGATTGATCAGGGTCTGATGGAAGAAAAGATTATAAGATTTTATCATCTTTTTTTTGTATCTGTTTTGAAATTTTAAATAGCTGTATTTTCAATAACTATGTGAAATTTTAAATTGCTATAGGGAACTTTAGATAGCTGCAGTGGTTTAAATAGCCGAAACACTTTAAATAGCTATGATTTTTTTAAGTAGCTGTACCTCTTGTAAATAGCTATATGTGTAATTATAAAGTATCTCTTTTGAGAATATTTATACTTTTTTAAATAGCTATAGCTTTTTTAAATAGC